TATTGTTAATTTCTATTTTTTAGAATTAAGAGCCATTCTCTGTAATGACTTGAAATTTTATATAGGAGCTGTGGCATGCATAGTCTCAGAATTTCTCCAAACTCTCTCAGATAAAAGTCATTGATACCCTAAGCTGTAATCAGGCAAAAATTGGTTGCTATGTTTTATAGTTACCATGGCAACGTGTCTTAAAGTTCGAAAAATGGCATTTTTTAACATGTTTAGAGCCCCATGTTAACATTTGCGGCAAAGCAAACAATTGGCAATGACTGTTTCCAAAAGTTGAAGGTCACAAGTCTCAAATGCATGATAAACATGTTTGGTAAATGAACTATTACATACGTTACTATGGTAACAAAGTATTCAAAAGTAAAAAAAAATATTCATTGAATTTTATAAAGTCATACACGTAAAAATAAAAAGCAATTATAGGATGAAATGTGACCAATTAATAGAAAAAAGAGCCTTGAAACATATACCAAGAACAAAATATGATATTTCATTTTGGTTGGAAATGGTTGCCAAGGTTTTTATACCACAGAGAGCCTTCAAAGTAACACTCTGTATTTTTAAATCTGATCCTATCTTTTTAAAAAAGCACATTTCCTCATAACTAATCATCAATTTTTAAAGATGTTGGTGTGTTCCAAGTTTTCCCATTTGAAAAAATTCAGATTAGATTCTTTAAATAGAGCGTTGCTATGGAAATAAGCAGAAAATATATGCTTAAAAACCTGAAAAATATTTTCTTTCCTTGGATACGTACCCTTAAATGTAGATTCCCAAAACTTTTATGATTGATATTTATTAACAGCTAACCTGACTTTTAATTTTGACTATCATCCAATCTCGAAGTGGATGCAAGAAGTTGGCACACAGGGTTTAATATTGATATAAAGTTCACAAAATCGAACATTTTCCCTTCTTGGTAACCATAGCAACAGTGTTGTTTTCTTCATCGAATTTTATCAATATATGATATTCAACTTCAGTTCTAACAGATAAGTATTATTCAAGCTGAGTCCTTTAATTTGTTTCTTGATTATATGGCAATTTAATTCTTAATGCAGCGAAAAATAATTCACTTTTAAGCACTGGTACTTTGTTTCCATGGTAACACTGCAAAGTAGCAATTATACCCAATTTTTCTTATGGTTTTGGTGTTGCAGGGTCCTAAGGATGCATATTTGCCAGTCTTGAATTTTCAAGTTTTTCCTCAAGACAGTAGCATTAACCCAATTTTAGTTACTGGTTTTGCATGGTTACACTGTGTTACCATGGCAACCATGAAAATTATTTATAGAAAAATATTGCTTATACTTATATACTTAAGGTCAAACATTTTCATTGTTTTTCTTAAGTCGTTGATTGAGTTTGAGCATGTAACACCTACCATTAGTGAATACGGAGTATTTTTCAGCATATTTCAGCAATTTAAATGTATTCCAAATGTACCCTTGGTTACCACTTATTTAGAGATATATTCTAAACAGTTTCTTTACAGTATAAGTGACATCAAGGTGTCATGTTTTTGTGAGAATGGTTTGTTTGCTTTTTCTAGTTTTTATTAAGCCACAGCCAAGATTTAAAATGGCTGAAAATCTCGATTTTTCAAACTTTTCCGGCTGTTGCCATAGCAACCAAGACACTTAGCAACGAAATTTTGTTTGATATTTGTTTCTGGTGTCAAGTACTAAGCATAGGTGAAGTTTCATCAAAATCGGTGACCATGCGTGGCAACGAAGTTGAAGTGGTTACAGAGAATGGCTATTAAGATCTAATGGTATAGATCACTCTAACTGCAGAAAAATACCATATAATCAGAATTCTTTAGTGTGCAGTGTAGAGAGGGTTCTTAAAAAAAAATATTATAATATGTGTAAAGGAAATTGAATGAAAATCATGCGAGCCACCTTTTCCTCCATATGTACAAACATTAGCGGATCCAGAGGGGGGGTTCCGGGGGTTGGAACCCCCCCCCCCCCTTTATTTTATGCCAAGTGAAGAAAAAGAGAGAAAGAAGGGGGATAAAACGTTTCCCGAGAATAAGTATTTGTACGTCTAACTGAAACAGATAGATTCTCACACATTTAGTTTTTCCATTCACCTTCACTATTACTTTTTATGAGTGAATGGTAGAAAATATTCTACTTATTTTTATATATCTAATATATGATATGTAACATGCGAGGTTAAGTTTGATATTAGATTCCCGCGATCTTAATTTGACTGTATTGGCTATATACAATTAAGAAGGTGCCGTTTTTTTTAAAAATAAATCTTCTGAAGGAACTAAAATTTAATTCATTTTACCCAACCCAAAAAGGATTTTCAAATTCTTTAAGAAAATTTATTTTACTCTTCGGAAATGCTGCAAATCCATTCAATTTTAAGGCTTCAGTATTTTTTTTAAATGTGTTAATTTTTTTATACGGACTGGGGGTACCTTTTCAAAGAAAAAAGGACGTAGAACAAAGATATTATTTTCCACAATCTTATATTTTTCCATACATGTGTGTGTGTATCTTTGCCTGAGAGTGTGTAAGGCGGGGGGGGGGGGTTAGAGGGACACAACCCTGGACCCCCCCCCCTTTCAAAAATTGCTGGATCCGCCCCTGACAAATATAGTGTATTTCACAACGTTGTTACTCTCTCTCTCTCTCTCAGCTATTATGAAAACAATTTAAAGGCATCAAACCAGTGTCCACGAATATTTGCAAACAGATTAGGATTCTCTACGTAACACTGAAATGCCACATTCTGATCATCGTCCACTATGTTTTCCGTGAGGAGTTTTCGAAAAGTTTTCTTGTAGAGTTTTTCATATTTCAAAATGGCCGCCGCATCCCCTCCAAAAAACCCGCCACAAAAAGCAGGCGACATTTGAACTTTATGAGGTTCATTGATATCTTTATATAACACTGGATCGTTCAATTCAATATATGTAATCTTGTTGTGTTTGTTTAAAAGAACTCTAGGTAGAAAGTTCTTCCACTGGGTAAGGTTATCACCATGTCCATACCCAGCGTCAATCCAAAAGAAATGTGTGCTGTTAAAGGGATTTTTTCGTACAGCATCTGACAAAAAAGAAACTTTGTTGTTCATCAGGATTAAATATTTCACTGAAAAAGCTTCTGGGTGGTTAAGCATTTCGTTGGAATCTCGGAACTCAGGGGAGACAAGAACATTTCCAATATGCTGTCGGTACCGATAGAACTCTAAATCAGTGAATGGTAGTGCATAGATCTGTGTTTTCTGATGTAGATTTTTTCTTTCGTTCAAGACAAATTTTTGAACCGATTCGTCAGAATAGATGATCATTTTTACATTCAAACCCAGGACATTACTGAAATAAGATAGGTATTCGTCGAAACTTCGCCGAAAGTGTGTCCAATGTTCACGACCTATGTCGTATAGAGCGGTCACGAATACCGCCTCCTGGGTTGGTGTACGAGACTGGTCATTCTGTACTGGATTAAAAAATGACCTCTTCCCGTTATGATTTAAGAATGAACCAAATAAAGCGAAAAAGCATTCGTAAAAATAAAAACAACTTCAAATAAACTTACCAAGATTGAGACACAGCAAAAATAGCAAGAATATTTCGGCATACATGTACCTATACATTTTAGTATTCTATATATGTATACTATATATATTGTTTACACTATCACTGGTCAATAATTTGGTGTGTACTTTAGTCTTATCTCACATAGGTCATAACTGGACATTATAGATCTAGTCCCGTGGGGGACATGTGGTCATCTGCCAAGTAGCCATGATCTCAGATTTTGAACTTTCTTCATGAATTCTACAATATGCAATACAAATGAATACGAATATTTTTACTTTTTGATTTACTTTTTAAAGAAGGTGGGCGAACAAGGATTGCAAAATGCTTATAGCCTCAAATGTATAAAAGTAATTGTAAGTTTTTATCATCGAAAGGTACGATATTTATAAGAAATTAAACTTTTCTGCGAAAATTTCTTTCTGCAAAAATCATAATCCTTATTTTTCTAAATGTAGTATTCTTGGGGAATGAACCTAAGCAATCCTTAGTTAACCTTCAAGACTAGCATTTTTACCAATATCAATATGCCATACCACTCAGAACAAAAAAAGCATTTCAATCATGTTTGAGAAATGGCCCTTGACTAAATGGATTTCCAATATTTTTGTGAAAGATATAAATGCTGTGTCATAAAAAGTATTTTTAAAGTATATTGGGAGATTGTTTAATGTTTTTGTACATCTTAAGCATACCTTGAATATAATTTTTGAAGAAAATGAAGCGAAGACCCTTTTATATGGAAAAATAGTTGGAGTATAAAGAAATTATCATTTTCCCCTCTCTGGTATATGAAATTTCAAAGATGACTAATTTCAATCTTTGAGAGATTGTTGCGATTTGTGGACATTTGACCTGAAGCATTCATTAATTTTTAATGAAATATCAAAGAATATTTTGTTATAACTGAATTTTAATTTGGTCACATAATAAACATTTGTCCCCTTTATTCACCCATCTTCTTTGCTTTATTTGAAAATATTGTCCCTAAACAGCAGGCAAGTGAATTAAAAAGATCCTCGAATACATTAGACTGGAACCCCCCCCCCCCCTTCCCTTTTTAAAAATCAGGGTCAGAAAATGAGCTATGCTTGCTAAATACTTCTAACTTTGTATTAATAAATCACTTCAATATTTCTTCTAAAAAAGTAACTTCAAAACATTACAATTTACTTTAAAAAATTAATGGGTATTTAATTTTGAAAAAAAATTAATCATTCCAATCCATCACTTCAACCCCCTCCCACTTGCCCCTTTCAAAATTGATTTTAAATTAAGCATTGGTCTAACTCATCCTTTGATAGGCAACTTTCTACATATACCTTTCATTCATTTAGGACATCCTCCGAACATACGTGGATAAATTTTGATAAATCTTAAATATTTAATATTTTTTTATTGGTCATATCATCATTATACAACATTAATCTTTCAGTGTAAATAAATTACTGAGAATGTTCTTCTTTTCAACAGTGAACTTACAAAAATATAAATTACAAAATCCTTTCATCACACTTAAATACAATTATCAGTTTAAAGATGGATTTACCCAAAATAAAGACATTAACAAAACAGCATCACAGGATTTGCCGAGAGGAAATATGAAGGACTTCCCCCCACTGAAGTTGAACAAGAGATTCTGAGAGATGCATACACTATATTTTAGGCAGGACTTTCACTAGGACTTTGTATCCGAGTTTTCTTTCTTGGTTTAGATCATGATTCGTGATCACTAGCTTTTCTTCCTCATTGTAAAATGGGTTCTAATTCCTTTTTTGCTCCTTAATTTTTCAGTCCTCTAAGGTGCTCCTACAGAATGGGCAGTGACCTTTCTGTAGATACTGGAGTTCAAAGTCATCAGTGTGGAACAACTGAAAATAGAACAAATAATCACATTTACTGAATGATAACAACAAAATAATCTCTATGAGAGTGAATAAAAAACTGCTGAATTTTCTTTTTTTTGTAGGTTTCAAAATATTTTTTGGCAGTGTAATGATGATTAAATTAACTAGAAAACTGACCAGTCAGCAAGGGCCCCGCCATGGGGTAGAATTAAAAGGGTGCAGCTTACAGAATGATTAATAAATGTACAAAGAAAAAGCAACAGCAACTGTATTCTTAAAATTTCAACATAATTCCTGAATATTCAAAAACCTGAAAATAATATTCTTGTATTTACATTAGGCAGTAAAGAACAACTTAACATTGAATTTATATTTAAACAATTATGAATCTTGTGTTATATAAAATGCAAGCCTTCAATGAATGCAAATATCATGAAGGCTTGGCCTTAACTTCAAACAAACAGCAGTTGCAGATAAAGGTTTTCATTAATCTTAAAGTGACAGATAAAGAGAAGCCTACTAAATTTTCTGCAGCAGGCTAGATAATTAATCCCAAGGGATTAATTGTACCTCTCTCATCATTTTCTTCTAAAGTTACAATAAGAACTTTTTCAGTATTAATGATAGAATGGGGTTTTTATACAACTACATTAAAAATTAAAAACATTCTTGAATTAATATATTTTAAAAAAAAAAAAGGAAAAAAGTGAAAAAAAGTACCCTGGTAAATCAAAAAATCTTCTTTAATCTATTTCTTTTTTTAGGATCCAATGAAATCATAACTATCAAACAAAAATAAATAATAAAAATTTATATCTAAATCCACATTTCAGAGTGTTCATAGCATTCCAAATTGATTTAACTTCAAAACAAACTTCATTTGCAGACAGAGGTGGTAATTAATCTCAATGTGACAGATAAAGATAATGCTCTGGATTTTCTTCAGGAGGAAAGCTAATTAATCCCATGGGACTCCTAGTAGTATTCAGTTTACTGAATGGGAACATCTTCAGCAGTTATCTCTCTTTGCCAATGCATTCTTATATAAAGTTAAGGAATCTACCCCACCACCCCAGCTCCAAAACAAGGGACACAGAGAACCAAACTTAGCATCAAAATATGTATTTTTGCCTACTGAACTACCGTACCAAATTTGATCTTAATTGGGCAACCATAAAAAAAGTTGCCCGTTCATTCTTATGCATAGTTAAGGAATCTACCCCACCACCCCAGCTCCAAACTAGAAGACATAGAGAATCAAACTTAGCATCAAAATATGTATTTCTGCCTATTAAACTACCATACCAAATTTAAACTTGATTGGGCAACCCTAAAAAAAGTTATTAGAAAAAAACAGAAAATTTGTGGACGGAAGAGTGACAGACGGACAGACAGACAGACAGACAGACAGACAGACAGACGGACGGACAGACAGAGTGATTACTATAGGGCACCCGCAAATCCTTGCGGGGCCCTAATTAAACTACACTGCATTTCCCATAAAAAAATTCTTTAGTATAACTTCTTATTACACTTGGGACAAAGAGTAACAGTGATCAAATACTGGCAATACATTATACTTTAGCAAATTTGAAAGTTTTGACCTAAGACCTTAGTATGTTTGCTGCATGCAAACCATGTAATGATTTTACATTTTACACTAAGAAATGTAATATATTACCTTATTACACTTAGGACACTGAGTTATAGTGACATCAGGCAGTAGGGATCTGAAGAACTGGTATCTCAGTGGTTTAGGCCACTTAAGAATGTAAACCTCTGATCTAGATAAAGTTTGTAGAACAGATTTTGTTACAACCACGGGACGGAATTCTGTTTCTTCTTGCTGTAAATAGTAAAATGTAATACAAACTTAATTTCCATTAAATGAATAGAGTGCATAAAACAATACTGAATTTAAAAGACAGAAACAACCCCAAAAAACTTTTACTATCAAATTCCTATTTGCACTATAAATCCCCCTCTTACTTACATCAAAGGTCATGAGTTTGGCTGAGAATGGGTCCTCATCCTCGGGTTCATCATCCTGAGCCTGACCTAAACTCAGAGTCTGGGCATCTTAGAGCCAGTTAAGGGAAACTACTACCTCCTACTTTAACTCATGTATGGGCCAAATTCATCACACTTATACACGGATATAGAAATATATACAAGAGGCCCACGGGCCTTATAGGTCACCTGAGTATATTGTAACAACTTTCAAACAATTAAATTTGGTTCGCGTTTTAAACCAGAGGCCATGAAATTCACAATTCACAATTTTGAAAGAGGCACCATTGCTTATCATAATTATTAACTTAGCATTCTTACTCTATTTACTTAATACCCAGAGGTAGATCAGCGTAACAAAGAGAAAATGCACTTCCACTTTATACCCAGTTGTGCACCTCACCCCAAAGGAACCACTGACCTGGGGCCACATATTTAAAAATTTTGCAAATTTTATCATAAAATGGTTGATTAATACCAAAGAGCAGATTTCAAAGCATTAATTTATTTTCAGACTATGTACCCCCCCCCCTTCTGACCCAGGGGGCATAAAAAAAAACACTTTGCAAGATGCACCTTTCTTTATCAGAAATATATATACATGTACTTGGATCATTGGCATAAAACCAAGAAGCAAAGGAAAATATTTTCAAAGAATTAATGTATTTTTACTATATAATCAATAGAGCCCCGCCCTAACACCAGAACCCCTAATCCTGGGGCCATAAAATTCACAATTTTGGAAAAGGCACTCTTGCTAAGGCCATTCCAAGTTTTTTCTATGTTTAGCGTCCACCCATCTTTCAAAAACCTACCTACCTATTCGCAAAAAACACACAGACCAAAAAAGAAAACACAGACTTTATAGTCATAAAAGTAACGTCTCTCAAAGGGTTTGATTTCAAAAAAATATTTTTTCTCCTTTCTAGATCTACACTTTAGCAAAATCCATGTACTAAATGCTCAAAATATACCAAATATGAAAAATTGTAGACAGATTTTAACAGGACATGATAGAATTCAAAGATTTCGACCAGAATAATCAATATCAGGTCTTCTGATTTTGTTTGTTTTTTCTGATACTGGGTGTCAAAAACCAAGGCGCACGCGGACGCTAAACATAGAAAAAACTTGGAATGGCCTAATCATAACTATGTACTTACTTAGTTTTTTTAATACCCAGAAGCAGAGAAGAAGATTTTCAAAGAATTAATGCATTTTCACTATATATTCTATAGAGCCCCGCCCTAGCACTAGAACCCCTGACCCTGGGGCCATGAAATTCACAATTTTGGAAAAGGCTCTCTTGCCTATCATAACTATGTACTTAATTAGTTTATTTAATACCCAGAAGTAGAGAAGAAGATTTTCAAAGAATAAATGCATTTTCACTATATAATCAATAGAGCCCCGCCCTAACACCAGAACCCCTGAACCTGGGGCCATAAAATTCACAATTTTGGAAAAGGCTCTCTTACTCATTATAACTATGTGCTTAGTTAGTTTATTTGATATCCAGAAGCAGAGAAGAAGATTTTCAAAGAATAAATGCATTTTCACTATATAATCAATAGAGCCCCGCCCTAACACCAGAACCCCTGACCCTGGGGCCATAAAATTCATAAATCTGGAAGAGGCACTCTTGCTCATCATAACTATGTACTCAGTTAGTTTATTTAATACCCAGGAGCAGAGAAGAAGATTTTCAAAGAAATAATGCATTTTCACTATATAATCTATATAGCCCCGTCCTAGCACTAGAACCCCTGACCCTGGGGCCATGAATTTCACAATTTTGGTAGAAGACTCAATGCTCATTACATTCATGCCAACAGTTTGCCTGCTTGGTATCCAGGAGTAAAGAAGAAGATTTTTAAAGATTGCAATAATTTTAGAGGTTTTGGCCCCACCCCTCAGGCCCCAGGGGGGCAGGGATCATGAAATTCACAATTTTTGTTTCCCTTCACCCATAGATGCTGTATAGCAAATTTGGTTGACATTGGTTCAGTGGTTTCAGAGAAGAAGCTGAAAATGTCCAAATGTTAACACACGACGCACGATGGACGACTGACGACGACAGACGAAAACGGATAGCAATAGGTCACCCGAGTTACTCAGGTGACCTAAAAATGCAAAAATTATCCTTGGAACAGGAAAACAAATTTAAAATTCTCTCATGAACTTCTCTTGAATTTATCTTTGATATGTAATTCATAAATTTTATTACTCTCAGACAAAAGATCCTGAGCATATCTTGGAACATATCTCTCTTAAACTGCATAAATCTAATGTCAGTTTGACTCAGCATGACTTTATCATTGTGATATTAAGGATACGTCCGATGCGCCCCTCCTTCCAGCCTCGATCCTCTTTCTTCTGTTTGGGTATAGACAGGTCCAGGATCTGTACGGCCTCCTCGTCCGTCAGACTGCTGTCTAACACAAACTCCACCAGCGGCAGCACCTCTGTAAAACAACAGATAAACATGTATTAAGTCTTCATTAAGCAAAGACTATCTTTATTAAATTTTGCAGAAATGCATCTTTTTCATCACATTTTAAAAATAAATCTGTCGCGCAGATTTCCGTTTCCCTATTCGCTTATTTTCAATTTCATTTTTTTTCAATTTAACAAAAATATTGCTTTTAAGTGTAAAAGAAATTAAGTTATAAAAAAAAAAAACCTCACCAAATGAGACAAAAGAGTGGACAAATGGTTGTCTACAGTTGACACAGCAGTTTCCTCCATTGTTCAGAAGAGGGTTTGTGGTGGAACAGCGGTAACACATGGGAAGGAGCTCCTAAATCAAAACAACAACCAAATTCAGATTTAAACAAAAAAAAAAAACTTTCAAATTGAAAATGCATCATACTTATTAACGATACATAAAACATAAAATTAGCCATTGTCCAATTTATACACATGTACAATACCTCGGAGTCTTGGAATGCCTTGGATCGGATCATCACACTACCTAGATCTACAGCCTCCTGGAATCTACTGGGTATCCTCAGTGTCTGTAACTTCTCATAGGCGTAACGAGCCAACTTAAAGGCTCCCAGGTTCTTACTCTGCTTGGCTAATGCATATAGTGTCCCTCTTAACACTCAATTAAGGAATATTCAAAAATGAGCAATTTCTTTACTGATTTCTATAGTTCAAAATGGTTCTAACTGAAAAAATTTCATTCTTTGAAATATTTTTGCTTGCAATGTACCAGAACTGTATGGACTTGTAAATTTCTTCTGAAGTCTGTTTAAGTTATTTTAAATAAGAAGAAATAAATTGAAAGGCATTCATATTTTAAAGTAGCACATGGATCTTTAACCAAAGTTAAATGTACTGTATTAAAACCAAATCAATTAAACGAAGGATACACTTTAGAGATTCCGTGTGGTATTCCACTCTGGATCATATGAAGCAGATATCGAGAAATGTTAAACAGGGCTTCTGGTAGATGTGATGTGAAAGGCTCATCCTGAAACAGACACATTCAATTCAAGTGATTACTAGTACTGACATGAAACAACACATATCATATTGAATGCAAGGACTATGGGATATCAAAAAAACCTATTCATTAAATAATAGTGCAATAATGTACAAAGATTTTTGGGGATCCTGAAAGAGATACCCTTTTCTAAACAAATACATGTGCATGCTTGCAAATTGTATTTCAAGACATTTAAAACAAAGCTACAGAGTTAAATCTAAACTTGCTTCTCTCTAGAATGCTAGACTTACTGTATATCTTTGAATGGAATGGTAGGCGTAATACATGTCAGCCTTCCTCTGATAGTCTTGGAACTTGGCAAACATTTCTTCTCGTTTCTCTGAATCCTCTACAAAAGGAGCCAAGATAAAACTGATGAAATTAAGGTGGAAAAAAGGATGATAATATAGAGTGCAGAGCTCACAATAAATATGATCCCAGTTAAGCTACTTAATTCATGCTCCAGAGCAGTAAAAACTTTACAGGTCAAAAAATATTCAGAAGATCAGAAGTTACAAGTTAAACAATAACATAATTTTTGTCAATATTCACACTTCAAGATACCAAGTATTACAATATCATAAACAGTGTAACAACAAAAAAGGATAAGAACACTCAATATACTTTTTTGTACCCCCGTTAATTAACATTTTATTAAAAAACAAAAAAAAATTTATATCACAGCAAGCACACAAAGTAAAATCAGACTAAAATTCGTGTTACATGTTATCAGAAAACTAAAACTTAATTAGGTCAGGTTCTGTGCAGGGAGCATATTTGTCATTTTTTCATCGAATCTTTGGGGGTGGGGGTGTTTCTGCATGAATAAAATTTCAACCCATGGCACTACTAAGTCAAAAACGTACTGACATTCCCATTTTTTACTGACAAACTTAGAAAATTACTGACAATGTGCTGTCGTTACTGTAAAACTTAGACAATTACTGACCTTTTTACTGTCGGTACTGATAAACTTAGAAAAGTGCTGACAATCTTAGTCGGTGCTGAAAAACTTAGACAATTACTGACCCGTTTACTGTCCCAGCTGAAAAACTTAGACAAGTGCTGACATTTACTGATAATTACTGTCCCTATTGATCTCGCTCTCGGGGAGGCTGCAGTGGTGTGAAATTGATTTTTTTTATTTTAACATAGATTATTATTTCATTTACTAGTATTTTTTTTTATATATAATTTTTAACTATGTCCAGATGATATCTTTGAAAAAAAATGCTTCTTTGATCTATTTATAGAAAATTGATTTGTAAAAAAAAAATATTTTCAAGAGAAGGAATAAAAAAATTTCAAAAAATTTCAAAATCTTCAAAAAGATATTTTAAGCAATTAAAGAAAATAAAAATCTTCCTTTAGTAGTGAGAAATTTTAGTGAGAAATTTTACAGAGGTCTTTCCCTTTTTATAATAAAACAATTTTATTACATGACATGCATTTTATAATATTTTCTTAATTAACGTTGACTCCCTGACTTTCTTTAATATTAATTTAAAGAATTAAACTGTTAGGTTAGATGTGTTTTATTCAATTTTAATTTAATTTATTCAAATTAGTTTGAATAATTTTGATAAACTCATAGCGCGCGGAGAGGCCGTGGGTGCTCCCTTTTGAGGAAAGGCGCTTGTTATAGTTTTCATATTATGTAAAAATTTTTAAGTATGTGGAGGCCCCTTATATTTGTTTTTGTGCAGTTAAACATACCCGAATCCAAGCATTTGCAAGAAGAAACCAAAGTTAAAAGACAGACGGGGGATTTAAATCTAAAAAAAAAGAAGACTTTTTAGTTTATTCATTGGGCAGGGGGAGGGGGGCTACGGGCCTGCATTGATCATTGATCCTTTGACATTTATTGATTTAGTTACTGTCCAAATTATTCTTTTGAAATAATGTACAGTACATCTTTTAGCTGATTTTCGAATCTGGATTTTCTGGATCCCCACCTGAAAGTGTTATTTTAATTCAAATACATGAAAAACTATAACATTTTGTATAATCATCTTTTGTCTATGCATACTCCTGAAACAAAACTTTGATAGAAATTAACATCAATGTTCTTTTCAATTAGAGTATCGGTAGACGTTCACATGGATTTAGTTTCTTTTTGTCTTTTCAAATTAAAATGGGGGGTGGGGCACGTGCGAACTAAATGAAGAAGATGAACATGTACATGTACTTACTTATTTTATTAAAGTAGAACACACAATTAATACTGTCGTGTTTAAGTTTGTACTCCTTTTTCTCTGTTTAGGTACAAAAAATTAATAAATTTAATTAACTTAATAAATCGACGTTTCATAGCTTTGTTCGGTATTGAAACCAGTATCATGATTTTACAGTAACACTGTGCTTTTTATTCGTCCAAAATTATTCAAGTTGTTTAGCTGGTATCCAGCCGAATTACATAATCATTCAACATACAATCGGAAACTCTGTGAAGCACCTGTGTGTCGAAGAAATCGCCTGAGGCGATCCGAGTGTGTACGGTAGCCGGTAAAGAAAACAATAGGTGTCACTGCTGTATTATACAGAAGAACACGCGCCGGATTTCACTGGAAGTTAGTTATGCAACATTATGGCGACAGGTAGACTCTTCTTCAAGCAGTTTGAATTTGAGAAATTCGACACCAAAACATACGTAATACAAATATGCAATCTACAATCCTTCAACCTTTTCTTAGATTAAATAAATAATTTTTTTAATATACCGGGGTAAGATAAAATTAACGATTAATGAAAAAGAAGATTAATGTAAAAACCAACCGGGGAAAGGCACAAAGTGTTTAAGGATTTAAGCAAAAATAAATATATGAGAAGGGGTACATTACATCCAAAGTTTTGTAAAAATTACTGGTTCCTTATATTTTTTGTTAAGTCGTGTTAGTGTGTGGGACAGTGGAGTGAGGAATTTGTTTCATTATCAATCAAATAAAAATAGTTCATAGTATATTTCCTTAACTTTTTATCAGTAAATAAGAATAATTATAATTCAAACACAATTTATATGCAGCAGTATTATGACAGTAAAAAAAAAAATCAGCCGGAGTTTATAACTCTACATATATTTTAAACTTTGCCTGGGTCGATACAATTGATTGATTTTTTTGGAGAGAGAGAGGAGGGAGAGAGAGAGAGTGATGAGTGGTAACTCGTCACGGAAGATAGTGGGAACCTACAGTTAACGAATAACCTTAATCTTATGAAAAGGAAAGATGTTAATGAAACCTGAATCAAATTAATAATGACTACGGGATGGGTATAAATTGATCAAATGGACAAAGAAATTTGCATCATTCAAAAAACTTACACATTTTTATAAATTATATTCAAGTACCGGTATACTGGATATTTTTTTTTCATGTAACGTGTGTGCATAGAGGGGGATGGGGGGGAGGGGCTTATACATGTATGCTAGAGGGTTCGAAATAAATATTTGTGAGCACTGGTTCGACGGACTAATGACTTCCAATTTTCACTACTTCGTAAAATATTTTACTAGACAAGTCCGCATTCTGTCTTATTATTATGTTAACATCATAACACCCTACGCCTACCTACTTTAATGAGATGAAATTTATTTTCAGCACATAAAATTAAATTAATTCCAATTCACCGATAGCTACAGGGGGAAAATAGAAGGTACGAAACATGTAATATTTTAAATTTGTTAAAATTGAATCATGATTAAAAAATACTTAAAGATTAAGTTTAAAAACTAAATAGTGATCTAACCCCCTCGGCAATGTGAATAAACGGGGCACTTGTCAAGTATTTAAGTAACTTAAAGTGTCAATACTGTTTGTATCTCTAAGAGAGAGAGAGAGGGGGGGGGGAGGGAGAGAGAGAGAGAGAGAGAAGAAAAATATTTGAGAGTGGTGCTACTGCTAATATTAGTCTTACCGCTGACCTAATAAATATAAATATTTTCCGTAAGATTACTATAATTGCTAGTACATTAATTTTTATTACTAGTATGATAATTATCTATCAGTCTCGGACTTACAGACATTGGGTACTTATGAACCCTGCGTAATCGATCAACCAACCATTCATTTAGAAATAATGTTTTAAGTGACAAAATTAACAAGACATAGTACAAGTTTATATATGGAACACTGTACTCTTCAATAGGGGAACTCCCGTATGAGCAAATGAAACCGGAAATCTTAAACAGGGGTATATAATTATATGACTTGTACAGATGTCCTAGAACATAAGGAAACTGAATTACCTAATAAAGATCAGTAATTATTTCCTTTTTTAACAAGAGACATCTGTCCTGTTTGTGAAAAGAAAATTGATACAACTTTCCAATCGTGAAAACAGGGGGGGGGGGGGGGGCTCAACATTAAATCAGATATCTGTCTGCAAAGAAATAAATAGATGAAAACTAACTTGATGATTAATTAATTTTATACTTTAATTGAACAGGGATAGATATATTCAACACATGAATTTAAACTTGATTTACTCATAGTTAATTTCAAATCATATTCTGAATTATTTTACAGATATCAATTATATTTAGATTAAAAAATGATAACTGCCTGGGATTTTTTTTTTCATCAAAATAATAAGACTGTTTTTAAATGCAAAGTATAACACACAGTCATTTTCACACCACTGCAGCCTCCCGGTTTATGCAAGCTATTCCCACTTTCTGAAAATCAGGTAGAAAAAGGTGAAAATTCACGTGGGAGTAGGTGGAATTTTGTGTAATCAAATAATTAACTATGTTCTTAAATTTAGGTATGAAGTTGCGATTTCTTGTAAGATCTTTTTATTACTTCAAAAATCCGAAATAAATTATATTTTCTCAAAGATGTATTCATTATTTTCTGTCTTTAAATGTATAAAATATAGGTAAATATAAACATCTATAAATTGTTATTTGCAAGTGGGAATAGATGGAACTGAGAAAAAGTGGGAATAGCTAGAAGACACCAGCCTCCCCGAGAGCGAGAACAATAGGGACAGTAATTATCAGTAAATGTCAGCACTTGTCTAAGTTTTTCAGCTGGGACAGTAAACGGGTCAGTAATTGTCTAAGTTTATCAGCACCGACTAAGATTGTCAGCACTTTTCTAAGTTTATCAGTACCGGCAGTAAAAAGGTCAGTAATTGTCTAAGTTTTTCAGTAAAGACAGCACATTGTCAGTAATTTTCTAAGTTTGTCAGTAAAAAATGGGAATGTCAGTACGTTTCTGACTTAGTAGTGTGGGTCAACAATAATAAATCTGAATGACACTCCAATCATAATTGTGTGGTATAAAATGAAAGGGTGCAAGTTTACAATTATTCATACCACTGTTCTCTGTATAAAGCAGAAATTTTGAAAGATCAGACATATGTACATGTGCAAGAACTAAAACATACAACTCTTCTTCTTAATACTCAATATACTCAATATACATCATACTAAACATAGATTTGTAGCTCTCTAATACATGTAATATCAAATTCTTTTTCTCATTTTAAGGGGTATCAACTAAAGCTCTTGTAAATCTTTCATGCTAGTTTCATTTTCCACCAGCTATTAGCATCTTTTTAGCATTTCTAAGCATATACAACCATTTCAATCTCCCAATCATGCTTAGAACTATATCTTTTACAGAAGGGCTGACAAATTTGCAAACAATTTTTAACTCACCATGATAACCGTCCATATTAGCTCAAAAAATTGGAATTCAGCGATATCTATTTCTTGAAACTCCTAAAAATGGACTTTCTGGCTGTTACATAGGTATTGTGGAATCATTTTAATCTGTGGTGGCCAAAATTTGAGGATAACTAAAAATTTAGAGTTTGTGGGAAATATTTTTCAATTTTTAAGAAGCTGAATGTCTTGTTGAAGATTTCCATTACGATTTTTGATGAGATTGTAAATTCTTGAAAATAAAACTTCTGAAAAATACTGACATAAATTCCACAGTAAAAAAGACTGGCACTATAACAAACCCTTGTTTTTCAAAGACTTATAGCTGGACTAGGGACAATGAACTTCTAATTTTTTTCACATATCAAGAATATTTTAATGTTAGCCACTGAAGCAACAAAATAACCCTGAATACAAATACAAACCATCTTCTTCTTCTGAAAACAGGCAAAAACAACTCAGATTTTCAGAAAGGTAGTTTTATATTATATTACAAAAATACAAAAAAAAAACAATGAAAAGCATCATGGAAAAAAATCTTAAGTGATGTTGCTCTTGTTAGGTCACCCACCTCTTGCTATATCCAGACACTGCATGGAGAGTTTCCAGAAATAGTACCCGGCATCATTGAAGCGACTCTCAATAACAGCATTGTGTGTTAGCTGTTCCAGGACCTTGACTGCCTCCCCCTGCAGACCAGCCTTATGGAATGCTACAAAAAAAAGAACATTTCAACTCCCTTCCCTTAAATTTATGTCTCTTGTTAAAAAAAAATCAGACATTTTAACAGAATTAGTTTAGAATATTCACCCTCTTGAGCATCATCAAACTTGTCGTTCTCGGCGAGCCATTGAGCGTACGGTACGTAAACCTCCTCCTTGTACTCAGGGTGTTTTTCAGCCAGAGTGAAGGCCTGCCACAGAGATACAGTCATTATTAAAAGGGATATCTATTTTAAATTATCACTACTTATCACAAAACTATCAAGAGCTTGGCCTTGCAGTAGATGTTGACATGCCTTTATTCAAATTACTGTAGATTCCTAAATATACGCGTGAAATTAATTATCGCGAAATTTCGCGAGAAGCGCCACACGTGAAATAAAATTACTCGCCTTTATTTTTATGATGCTGAAATCTATGTAAAATCTCTTATCAACTGTCCATTCGCGAATTGTTATTCTCGCAATTTGCCGTTAAAGAGCCCATTCACGATAATAAGTACTCGCGAAAAATAAGGAATCTACAGTACACCGAACAGCCAAACAGTGCATACTACAAGACTTTGGGGGGTAAAATTTTATTTTTAACAAGAAATCAAGTGAAAGTTATTCATACATCTTCCCAGTGCTTGGCCTCCACATGAAGGTTGATGAGAGCTTTAATATCTCCCATTTTACTGTACACTTCAGCAGCGAAGGGGTACTGCTCCATCTTAGTCAAGTGCATGGCGGCTCGACTCAGAGCTTCACGGTCAGCCTTGTCTAGCTTACGGGCCAGGTCTATCATCCTGTAAATAGGTCAATTTTCAAATATATATCATTTTTGTTTTAGTCACAGGAACATTCAGAACTCTACATGACCTAGATAATAAAATAACAAATCCAAATTCTTGTTCATAATACCAAAATGGTTTACAAATGCAGAAGCATGCATATACAGTGGACCCTCATTTATCCGGACGCTTTGGTTCCCAGTCAATTTGTCCGGATATGTGAAGTGTCCATATACCTGAATCACCAGTTAAACAATTCAAAGTAACATTAAAAAATTCTATTCCGATGAAAAATCGTCCGGATACTGAAGCATCCGGATATCTGAAGGTCCACTGTATGTCCATGTAAATAAATACATGTTTCATTTGGACCAAACCCTTCTTTGCAATTAATATGAATCTTACATGTCAGCCCATCCGTGTTCCCCTACAATGTCGATGGCCTTACAGTACTCCCCAGCAGAGATGTACATTTCAGCAGCTGCCTTTGGTTCATTACTACTCTTGGCCCAGTCAGCCTGCTTAGTAATCAACATCTTCTTATCCAGAGGGTCTCCCGAGCCAATGTATTCCTGAAAATTACAGCTTAGTTACTTAATATCTGAATCCTAAATAAAGATATTCCAATTGACTCAGTACTCCTGGTCAGTGACAAATATCTTGATATTCTAACATCAGTGCAAACTTTTTATTGTAAAATGAGCACATGTTTAATAATTTTATTTAAAATGTAATTTGCAATTTATCATGAAAACATTTTAAGAATTCTGTATATAACTGTTTATTAAACCTTGGCTTGGTCAAACATCCTGAGGTCTGTATACATATTCATGGCCTTCTGTTCTCCTCCGGCTTTTTTGTACAGTTTGGCGGCCTCGTTGAATTTCCCTTGGTAACTGTACACATCTCCAAGGAAGATCATGTTGTCATTTTCACCTCTCTTTTTCCTCTCCTGAAATCAAATAAAATTCTTTTTTAAATACTGCTCTAATATTATTACTTTATTCAGATTTATCCATTTTTTTACTCTTTTCTCCTCAGTTGAACACACCTAACATTTCCAATCACTGTAACCAAAGAGAATACAGACCTCTATAGAGTGGATGAGTTCCAGATAGCGGAGATCCTTGATTCTTATGAAGGCTTTCTTCGCTGTATCGAAGTCCAACCCCTCAAGAGCCTCATGGGCTAGAACTTCCCAGTCCCCGTCTGTCACCCCCAAACAGGCTACCTTGTAAGCATCCCTACAAATTAAAGGGTTCAGTGAGCTTATATATTTCAAGTCTTTTGCTTTGTTATCATTTAACTTTTTTAAAGAACATCAATGGTTATGTTAGGAGCAGAATACAATCAGCACACTTTGTTATTACACCAATCAAGATATCCTTTGCAAATACCCTATAAAGGGCTAGTACTTTCTATCATATTTATTTTGCCCTATTACACTTTCAATTTCTTTCCTTTTGAATTTTCCCATGAACAGTTGTGTTAAAGAAAAGTTAATTGTCCCACTGTTGGAGGCAATATTAGGATGAAATTTACCCAAACACATTACTTGGAAACCATTTTCTTTACAAAAAATAATGTCCCCTACCCCTTTCTATGCAAATATCTGGATAGAAATTTCTTATAAACAAGACTTAACAATGTGTTGGATGTCTGTACTTACTTGAAGAGTTTCTTTTCTAGGTACTGGTACATGGAGGCTGACTGTGGAACATCCACTGAGGACATGGAGTAGATGTGGAGACAGAAAATCTTAGATCCACTGAAGCCCACCACAAAACCCTGTAAACACAATATACATTGTTAGATCAAAATCTTAGATCCAATGAAACCTATAAAACCCCGTCATAAAAACACACAATGTAAATTTTAATTCTAGTGTCATATAGAAAATTAGTAAGTAAAGTACAGATTTATGTCAGCCCTACAAACTAAATTATGAATATGCTGTCATCCTTATTCTATTTTATACTGAAACCATCATTCAGTTTAATTAAACCAAAAGGGCCAAGTACATGTTATAGCAAACAAACAATAACAGCAATAATTTCATGAATGTAAATGTACATGCGTGTACAACTGTGTTCACTTTTTTTTATGGATGTATCTTTTTTTTCAAGTACATATTAATAAATGTACACTGTGTTAAGTGAAAAAAATCCCATCTAAATCTAAGTTGATATACAGCTGTAACCATGACCATTTTTCACAGCAATACCTTCTATCCCTTAAGAATTTAAAGATATTCAGCTTTGCAAAGAGTGCAGCAAAGAGTGCAGCAACTTGGAACAAGAGGCCCATGGGCAAAAACACTTAGCCAAGCACTCTCCCCCTACCCCTTTACCAGATAAATTTATGTAAAGGAAACACCTTTTTTGGAACCAAAGTAAGTCAAATGATTGAAAAAACACTAATTAGTTTGCAAATAATCAATATGAAATATTTTCTTTAATGGCCCAAGCTTAAACTATACTGAATATGCTCATAGTATACACATATACACTAAATGTAAATAAATACAGACAGTCAGACATATGGACCATTTTAATCAGAAAAGCTCACTTGAGCCTTTGGCTTTGCAGAGCTAAGAACTAATCAAACATGTCAACAAAGTACAAAAAAAAACTGAACAATCATAAATCACTCTTACCTCCTAATAAACCAAAGAAAAAAAAATTAGGATTAAATACAAATTAGTGAATGTAAGATAGTCTTTCTACATAAATTTGTATCATTTCTTTATAAGATTCCACACAAACTCCAAAGTCGACCCTTACTTGAAGCTTCTGAACATGAACTGGGAAATTGCTGGCCTTGATGTTGAGTAACCCATTCCCAGAAAAACAGAGCATGTCTTCATAGTGTGTATTCCAGGCTACACTGTTAGCATTCGGTTCCTGTAGAAAGAAAGCCAAAAATATTAAATCAATAAGTACTACTTATCTATCAACAGATTCATATTAAAACTTAAGTTTTTGAAATACATGAAATTGAAATATTGCTTTCAAGAAACAATTGAATTTCAAATTTTTCTTATGTTAACAAAATCAATGTCACTAAATTTAGCAAAATACATGTAAATGTACAAAAAAATTGCAGTTAAATATAAATCATAGCTAAATAATTCAGAAAATGATAATCATCATGCAAGAGATGAAACATTTATTGAAAATTTTCAAACTTTCAACTTTATTTAAAATGCAAAATCAATTGTTTAAATGCAGCTTCTCAAATCCCAAATAATTAAAATTTTACTTCACTATTTACCCGCTGTACAGTATATACCTGGAACAATAGATCCTTAGTGTTGATGTCATACACCAGACACGTGTTGTGTTCGTCCACCACAGCCAGCTTTGTTCGCGAGGCACTGACGTCCAGACAACGGACCGAGGTACTCTGCTTCAGGAGCATGATGGGAAAAGCATTGTCCACAAAGATCTTCATAATCTATCATCACAAAAAGAAAAAAAATTATTTGTTTCAATGAATTTTCAAGGCATAATTGTTAAAATTCTTAATCTAATTTTATACTTCATGTTATCTTGAACTGCAATTAGAGCTATATGCACAGTATATGTATATTCAAAACTTTATCAAAATTCCTGAAAGTATGTCGAAATGAGAAAAAGAGACATTAAGATCCCCTCCCCACAACATAACAGAACCATTACCAAAAGTATATGTATATCAGTACAAGTGTTGAATTAAGATTCTGAAATTTTATAAGAAACTAAACAATAGTGCAGGAATATACAAAGACATAAACAGAACAAACTGACAGATGACAAATATTCAGGTTGGCCTTTAAGGAAAAGGTGGTGCAAGGATGACCTTGTGGAGGTGAAGGTCAAAGGTCAAGCACCCACCTGACCATTCTTCAGGCCAACCAGAAGAGCCTCGCTGCCCAGCGGGTGATTGGGCGTGACACGTACCTGCCCATTCTTCAGGCCCACCAGGAGCCCCTCGCGACCTGAGGGACCCCCAATGACCTTGATGTAGCGAATCAGGGACTCCATCAGCCATTCCCGCTCCTTGATTCCTTGGAAGGAGTAGCACTGCAGTCGCTTGTCCTATTCAAATATAGAACAATATTACAAAATCCTACATCTATATAAATCAATTAAATGTTAAGACACGCTCTGTACGTCTTTGATTTTGACTGCACACTTAGGAACATACTGCATGCTTTCTAAACTGTAACTTTCATATTTTACATCATATAGCAAAGTGGCTGCATGGTAGACATAAAATTGCAAGAACATGAAAATAAACTTATAAGAGGACTGTTAATCAAGAGTCTCAACATTTATTTACAAAAAAAAAAAAAAAAATCAAAGCTTGTGATTCTATTTAGCAAATGGTGCTTCAATCAAAATTATGTAGTTATGAGAATATTTAGAAAATGAATTTAAGATAATATTGTATTCAGAATTACAAAATTTATCTACAAGGTTTTTATTTCAGCTTACCTGACAAAGAATGATGTTTTGGGAACAAACCACAAGGAGATTACACTCAAACTTCTTGTTAATCTTCTCCTTGACTTTGTAGTGCATATCAGCGGCATCGTCCGAGTACAGCTCGTATATAACTATCTTGTCCGGTAGCTGTACCTAAAATGAAAAGTTTTATCTTTCAATGGTTAAAATTTGTACTAACTTATGATTTATTACATTAATTATTTTGTATGAATGAAAGCAAATACTAAATGACTTACTGCTAGTCTGTGTCTATAAATAGCTATCTTCTTAACCAAGTCTCTGCATTTGATCCTCACTGAAATATGGACAATTTTTGTTATGTCCAATAGTACATCTACAGTCTATGTAACAGGGACAAGAAAAAATGATCTATAAAGTATTGAAAGTATTCTATTTAAGAATACATGTATGTCAGTATACTTTTGTTAAAAAAGAATAAAACTTAATACTTCTATGTAATAAACAATTCACAAGAAAATCTTTAATTTATATAACATGAAATGGAAAACACAAAATTAATACCATACTTTATAAATAAATTCAGAATTCCTGATTCAAAAAAAAAATAAAATAAAATACCCTGATAAGGTAATGAGAAAAATAACCCAGTAAACCTTAAAATACACGAACAAATCCATGCAAGAAAAAAGAAAAAGAAAAAAATTTAAAACCAGGAAAATATATGCAACCAAACTAAAAATGTCAGAAGGGGAAAACCTGATAGACTTCTGTGGCCTCTATATATTGGGGACTGACAAACTCCCAACTCAGACACAACTTTGTTTTTGGCTTTTGACAGAACTGAGTCTTTATCATAATACATTTCCTGCACAAATCTACAGTTGTGCAAGACTTGATATCCATTCTTTATCAACATTTCCTGCCTCAGGCATTTCACTAAAGGGCAAAAGAAGAATTTCATAAATTATAAAATTTACAGTTTCATAAAATATAAACTTTACAGCACTTGGATTACACAATGTATGCAGTACCCAAGCTATTTAAATTGAAGATATAAATTTATAAATGTATATCTGTAATTTTTCCAAAAGAAATAAAAACTTATCTCGAATTTATAATTGCATAAATATTTTGAATATCGTGGAGGCATTAGCCAAATGCTTAACTAAACAAATAGGTTGACTGAACGGATTTCAATGGGCATAAATGGAGTGTTTTGTGCCTGTAGTTTTTCATACTTATTCACTTCAGGTTCAAGAAAGATAGATTCATGAGAGCTTTTGGACTTAACATTTTTTAGAAAAAAAATTACGTCATTCTACTGATACTAAGTTTATTTTTCTGTAATTTTGCTAGTCATTATAATAAATTTAAAAATACCAAGGCCTTTCATAAATAAAACAGACATAAAACATAGGTAATCAGAGATTACAGAGCTCACCTCAACGAATGTTGTCTTTAAGTAAGGCAAAGTCACACAATTAACCAACAAAAAGTATACATTCCAAAAAT